TTGATGTAAATAAAACAAAAGATAAATCAAGAAAGAAGTATGTTAGAGAAAATAAATGCTAGAAATTTCATATAACCCGCCATTCCTTCTTTGAATAGAGAATATTGTTGAAACATTATTTCCACTCTGCTAGATATTTATTATATTAAAAATAAAAATATTGTCTTGTATAACTAGTGTCTACTGGTCTAGACGAAAAAGGTAACATGATATTTTCTAAATTGATATTAGTTTGTTTAGTCTTGTTTTTATTGATTCATCCATAATCGATGGTAGTTTCTCTTTATCTTGTCAATTTTCAATATTAACATAGCCTTAATCAAGAACAACAATAATATGATATAATTTTCTTTTCTAACAAAAATTAGAATAATACTGTTAGTCTTTTTTTTTGATACTAGTTGTCTACAGGAAAGAAACATATCTAATAAAATAAACTTAAATTATTTTTATTAGTCAAAACATTTTGTTTTCATTTTTATATCAGTAATTCACTCTCTTAATATCGTTACAGTTGAATCTTCGTATACTTTTAAACGATTTGTCAATAAAGTGGCATTTTCTAATAATATTTAAAACTGTATATTAACAAGTTTCTAGTCACGTTTTTATTTATTTGGTAAACACGAACGTTTTCGATCACGTTACACTTATTCATATACAATTATATAATATTGTAAAAGATGTTATAAAAATTACAAATGAAATCAATTTCTTGGCAGATATAAAATCAATAACTATCGATCACAAACACGATTAAATGATGATTGTGATTATTTTCTATTTCAATCACTCCACGGACATAGTGTTGAAAAGAAACCTGCATTAATAAATTTTTTAGTACAATTTCGTTGCTAAATACGTAATATCTATAGATTTAATTCTATTTTTGTAGATTAAATTATCTAATAAAGAATATCAGATAACAATAATATGTAATCGAAAAATAAAATGAAGAGAATATTATTCATCGTTGATATCAATCACCTTCATCGTCATTATCATCATTTTCATATGATTCGTCATCGTCGTTTGTTGCATCATTATCTCCTATTTGATGAATCAATGATGAACTGCTCCAAAAATTTGTAAATGTATCGAGGAAACCTATTCCAGAATTTGTTGAACCAGAGTTTTTTCCATTTTTTTTTCCATTGGTTTGTCGAACTTTTTGCAAGTCGCATGGTGTAAAAATTAATACTATGAGAGCAACTGATAGAAGTATCGTGAGCAATGCTAAGATAAAAACACAAATATTAGCTCCGCGACGAGTCCAGCAGTTGTCTCTTTTATAAGCGGAACCATATTTTGATGAGCCACTTGCTATTATACTTGTATCACTCATGCTGGAAATTTGAATTAATAAATAAGTTTAATAGAACGAAAGAATCAATTGTTAAATTTCAAACACAACAGAACGAATAGTAAATTTGATCATGCCGCCAATTTTTCTGTGTAAAATAATTGGATAAATATTTGTTAAGTCAACTTAGCATCGAACAAAAGTTTGACAACAGTCATATTTAATTTTCATATAAATAAAATTTTTATTTATTTTCTATATATTTGCAAGTATTTTCATCTGAGATATCATGTTCATAAATCAATAAACAAGTATAATCTTCTCAAATTGGTATCGTTTGTTGAACAATTTTATACGTATCATGAGATCATACGGAATGAAATAGTAAAATACAGGATGTATTGTATGCGATACTATTTTTCTACTGTTTGTGTAACTGCAATCTGTAATGGACAAGTTACTTTTGTTCTAGACAATCGTGAGAATAACGAATGTCTCTAAATAATAACAAATTTATGTTACTCTTTATAGAAGCTATCATTTTTATTTACAATAAGCACATCACAAACTAATGAGCGAGTTACATATTTTTATATATTTTATATTATCTAGAGAACTTATGTTCTATCTAATCATGTTTGCTAGCCGAGCCACGCAATTGCCGATTTGAGGCCGCTTTTCGTTTCTTGAATACGACTCCTTCGCTTGTTTTTGATGATAAACTTGATGATATTCCAGGTATTTCCCGTTCTTTAAATGTCAATTTGACGTGAGACTCATCTTTTATTTCTGATATTACCGGTGCAGGTTGATTTTCAGGTAGATGCCAATTATCTGCTGGTAAATCAAGTTGATCACTCAATGTTTTCCTGGCAATGAAAAGAAATTTGAAAGAGAAGAAATAGCAATCAATGAAAAACTAACCGTTTTGATGAATCTACTTTGACAACAGGCTTCCAATCACCATATGGATGTTTATACTTGTTTTTACCTTTAAAAAAAGCATCTACTTCAGGTGGTAATGCTGGTTCTTCTAAAGCTGCCGTTTCTTGTTTATCTTCTTTCTTTTCTTGTTTTTCTTCTTCTTCTTCTGGTTTACTGGACATATTCAAGTAAAAACTTATTTAATCTAAAATAAACCAATAGTAAATCGGCACCTAAGCAGGTAAATTAAAAATTTTTCTTATTGTTTTATTCATTAGCAAAGCAAACTGTTCATGAGCTGTCGCATCAAAATGTATTCCATCCACTGGACTAATTTGAACAGAAGGTGCTGCATCAACAAAATAAACATTTTTATCATATTTATTAACGAGAGTTTTTAATTCGTCAGCTAAATCTTGCATTCGTTCTTTTGCACCTTCAAACATATCTGATGGATTCTCGCCACTTGTCTCAACTGGTATTGGTGTACTAACAATCAGTATTGCTGGCGATTCTTGCATATTAGGACCATATGTCGTTGAACGAACAATGTCAATAAGTTCTTTATTGCCTTCAGCAATTTGTTGACTTGTTCGATTATTAAATTGCTTTTTTAAATCATTTAATCCAAGCATAATAATTACTAAATCCAGTGGTGCGTGAGTATAAAGAATGACTGAAAGAAATTCAGTGCCACGAAAACCATTTGGTTTATCATCGTAATCTAGATTCGTTGTTCGACAACTAAGGCCTTCTTCAATAACATGAAAATATGCTGGATCAAGCAATTGTTGTAAACGACCTGTCCAACGTGTATTTCTATCATAACGTTCACGAATACCAAATGAACCTGGTACGAATCCCCATGTATTCGAATCTCCGTAACATAAAATTGATCTCATTTCTGTTCGTTCTACAACAGAATGTATGTCTATGAATACGAAGTTTTATTTTTTCAAAAGGTTTTATTATTTCAAATTAAAAAATAAACAATACGAAAATCTACTGTCCTAAATAATTTGTCCGTCTCGTTCATTTCGACTAAGTTTGTTTTGCATGTTGTTGTTTTCTAATATAACTTTGTAGATAAAAATTAGCAAACAGCATAAGAATAGTTATTCCATAAATTAAAAATGATATATCAAATATTTTTGGAAAATTGCATGGTTGTCGTAAATTAACTATGGAATGAATGATAACCGCAACAAATTGAAGCTATTCAAGAGAAACTAAATATAATTAAAGATTCTTTCAGTATTATGTTACACACCATTTGAGCTTGAGTTATGTAGCGTTTCCACCAAAGATATTTTTTTATTTTAGGCCCACAAGCACTTAATCCATAATAACCATACATAATAACATGAATGAAAGAATTGATGATAATAACGAAGAGCGCTAACAATGAAATCAAAAATAAAATAATATTAATAATATACACTTGTACTCGAAAAAAATCACCCCAAATTACTTTTTGACATTTTCTGATAGTTAATTGACAACTTGCATGATATAGACTTCATATTAGCTAAGCATTTTTTACTTTTTGTTTCACGCAGTTTTTGCTGCTGTGAATTTTTTCTTTCTTTCAATATTTTATAGTTGAATTCGATAGAATATTTTGAGAATAACGAATAATTTGTTCATTTAGTGACAAAACAGTAATGCGTATGCCTAGTACCAAGTCTGTATCATGCCGGAACTATCAATTAAGCCAGAGGCAGCATATAGAAAACTTAATGCACACTGCTATCATTGATTTAATCTGGCATATTATTTTTGTGAAGTTCTCTTTATGTTAGGATCCTGCGGGAACGACTATTTTGGATTCTCGTTTCCCGTTCCCGTGAAAAAAAATTTGTTTCCGTTCCCAGAAAATTTTAAAAATTCTCACTCCCGAAAGCTTTTCACAGCTTCTATTATTATATCATTTTTCGCATTCAATTTTTTTTTAGTGGCTGCTATAGGAATGCCAATTGACAGCTTATTTAATTCAAATTCAAATTTTTCTCATATATATTAAATTTAAATTAAATTTTTGCATTGAAACTTATTATCGCTATGAGGAAAATACGTGACTTTAACAGTAGTAAATACTGAACAAAACGAGAACCTAATGTTTTAGGTTAATATTTGTTTATAACTGGCAAAATTTCTCTGCAGATTATGCAGGATCAGTCATCTTTCTTCTTCAAAATACCGGGATACTCATAAAAATATATTTATTAGCACAATTAGGAAAATAATGACTAGCTTGAACTTTAGAAAACAAGAAACATTAAAATTTGACCCAAAATAATAACAATGAAATAAAAAACCGTGTATATCTGCTAATTTTAAACATTTAACCAATCTGAAGTTCAAACAGTTAAATTTAAATTTATTCAAATTTCAAATTTTAATTTTGACAATTTATTTGTCGATTAAATAAATTTCCTTACATTTAAATTCGACACCCCTAGGCTGATAGCAGCTCATCGCGAGATCTCGGTTTTCACATATAACATATTACACATCACATCAAACGTATGGATGAGAGAAATTTCGCATTGACCATTTCTCTAACAATTGATACTATTCACGTTTACTATTAAAAGCTTTCATACTCACCGATGATCTAGCAATTAACAACAAGAGCAAGTAGCTGCACATCCTAAACACGGATGAAAAAAAAACCTCGAAATGAGACGATGATGATATTGCAGTATTACAATACAGTCTTGATGATCGTACTTTCGATGATGATAAAGAAAATGATGGATGTAATGATGAATGATGTGATGAACAACAAATTAATTCATGCAATTTTTTAATAGATATTTGCTATTTTTTTTTGTTAATTATATGAAATAAGAAACTGTTACATCAATACATTTTAGTAAAAAAGATAGGACGAACAGATTTTCGGGAACGGCAAATTTTCTATATAGTCCCCGTTCCCATTCTCTTTTCCCGAAATCTCCACGGGAATTCCCATTCCCGATTCCCATGGGAAGCAGGACGGGAAAATCGATCTCGCAGAAACCTAGATTAGAATAGCTTCATTTAAGTGATATTTGTTTTTGCAGCTAATTTATTTCAAACGCATGATAAAACATGCATTTTTTAGATAAAAGATGAGCTATTAAATGTTCTATTTGAATCAGAAGACTTATATTTTATAGTTACTTCCGAAATTCTAATAGATTGTCAACGCTAAAGATATGCATCATCGTATTATTTTGTGCAAAGAAACAAAGATAACAGTTAACTATTACTGAACTTGTTTTTTTCTGTTCCTAATTCTAATTCACTGATTCTGACTATTATATTCGAAATTAATTAAAGATATAATAACCAGAAGAAACTCTAATATTACTATGCAGCTATATCTCAAATCGAAGTAAAAATTAATATCGTTGTCGATTGATTTAGATGCATCACTCTGAAATATAATGCTCTGATTTTTCCTTATGGCAAATAACAAAACGAATGACTGATGTTGTGTTAATATTCAATGGAAATTTCAAAAATGGTTATCAAGATTTAATCGTGTGATCTTAGTAGAACATCCGATGACATGTCTATTGAAAAAAAGATGAATGTTTCATTGTGCTACTATCGGAAATGACTTATAAAATGAAGAATCTTGCAAAAATTCAGTTGTATATATTATTCAATACTGTTAATATTAGTTTTTCCTGTTAATAAAACATTTGAAACGAATATTATTGCTTGAGTATATCAATCACAAGTAGCACCCTTTTATCCTGTGAATTTTAATATCGAACTCAAAGATTTACATGTCGTCAAACTTCAATATATTAATTTTACACTATGCTTAGATTTTTTCTCAAATGTTTATATTCAATCATATTTTCTGATACGTTCTTTTGAAAACAAAAAGACAAAAGCTTACATTGGCCACCTCCGACATATTTAGAACCACTCCATCCACAAAATGTCATTGTTATATGATGATAAACATGTAAAAATGTGATTTGCTTATCTTTTTTTCGCAATACAAACAGAATCTAATTGCAAAAAGTATTTTATTTTTGCTGATGAAAAGATTTTACTCACTGTATCGGTAAGATCAACTAATTTCATAATATAGAACCACCAACATGCTTTACATGCCTAAATAAAATTAAACAAAATATAATTGCAAATAATTGTTGGAAATGTTCTGTGAAAAAATTCTAATTAAATTATTGATTCTTACCATTTTAACTACACGACAAGATTCATGCACTACAAGTCTGACAACAGAGAGACGATAAGATAACTTCAAGTGCTAACTTTTACTTTATAAAATTATGGTGAGTACGTAGATTTTAACTAGTATACAAGTGAAGCCATTATTCATAATCTACTTTTAGAAAATGTGGCAATTTTATTTTTTCCATAAATTCAGTGGTTTGTAATTTTTATTCTTCAATATCTGATACAATAGTTTTTCTTGTACTGAATTCATAGTTATAAGCAATCCTAGAGAAAAGATAATGAAAATTTGATTTACAAAAAAACACTTGATACTAATTATGTCTATTGACAATTAATGTAAGATTAATCAGAAAAAGAAAATTTTTATTATTAACTTACTTTCATAGCAGTTTCACTCTTAGAAAAGTCAATTGGTTGACAAGTGAAACTATATCTTTCTTTGATCCAAACATATGTGGCCTATACATAAAAAATATCATTTTTTACCGAAATTCATATTCTATTGGTCGTACTTCATATGTTATATAAGTACATAGAATAACTTGCACAATGTTGTAAACAAGCATAAAATCACGCAACTCGAAAGCTTTTTTATTTTTCATCCATTTTTTTCCAAAAATAATGAAAAATATATAAGCAACAATAATAAGAAATGTTGGAATAACACTTTGCATTAAAGGCCAATTTTTGACACGTACGTCTAAAAAGTGGAAAAATTTACATTAATTAGAACGAAGTTCTAGAAACGAAAACCAAAAACTTACCTCCATTTTGTGGAAGTGTGACAAACAAATCCATTTTCAAAATTTCTTTTAAACGTGACATCCTGATTTTAATCTACAACAAAATGAAGAAGATTTTTCACTGATGTCAGACTTTATAAATGCCTGAATTTAATCTATGTACTCACACGATACAATTTGAATATGCCAAGTAACTGTTACATAATGCATGCTTATATAGATCACGACATTGCACGTAAAAAAGGTAATAGTAACGACACTTCTATTGAAAGAAAAGAAATGTGTACACAGAATAAAGCTATAGATACTCCATTCTATAGATGTCACATGTGTCAGATATATATTTATTTTAACAAATATTAGTCAGCTTTCATGGTTCCCTACAAAATAAATTTTAAAAGACAAAAATCAGATATGAACTTGCACAGGAATTTGCTTATCGAAGTGTTAAATAACCTGTACAAAAGATGTATATTAATTTTATTATGTTATAAACATTCATCATGTTGAAATCGAGGAAGTTTTATGGGAAAATCAGGATAAATCTCATATCAATACACATAAGTACTCAAATCGATTATATATATATATGAAGGATATAAAATTAAGGATATATAACAGTGGAGCTTTTCATATGCAACTTGAGAGTGAAGATGTTACTTCTTAGCTCTTTTCAGCCTACATCCTTGGTAGTGTTCATAATTCAGAAGTTTTGCTAGACGTTTTAGATAAAGGCAAAACAATTTTTATTAATGAAAAGAGAATTATTAACAAAAAGAAACAGAAGCTAAGCAGTCGATGAATTAATACGCGACATTTCATATGAAATATTTTAATATTTCTTTCCCGTACGAGAATTTTCAGCATCAAATTTCAACGAATGTACACTGGAAAAGCTGTCGTAAGCAGCTAAGATAACACATTTTAAATAACGAACGTCGATTGAACGATCTAAGGTGAAGTCAGTTACTTGTAGATTATTCTCATTATTGGATAAAGCTGAAAAGAAAAATAAAGTTAATATCTTTACTGCAATTAAACACCATAGAACTCGTACTTTTCTCAAGAATAGTCTCAAAATTCTTTGGTTCTTGATTGCTAGTTGTGAACATAACAAATCGTTTGACTACAAATATGATAAATGATTAAACAGTAAATTAGAATAGAAAGAAAAACTTCATGTATCACTTACCATTAGTTGTTACGAAGCGTATTTGACGAAACTCAATAGGCTCTTTGAATGTGATGATGAATTCTTGAGGATACAAACCTGTTGTCATCCAAAACACTTTATCATTTCTAATGAAATAAAATAAAGAAACCATGTCGTCAAAAACGTTTAAGTCCACTGAAGAGGTTGTTAACACAGATAATTACAAGAGTACTCTCTTAAAGTATGTCAAAACGTTGCCAGGATTGATGAAGAGAGAGAGTTTATGACTCGAAAGACTAACTATGGATTTTTTTTCCGGATATTGGGTCTACTCTCAAAGGTCTATATACATAAGTATCGGGTGGCCAAGGTTAAATGCCCATCTTAGTGTTTTTTCAATAGCTTCATCATTTTTATTTTCTAGGCCATAGTTTTTTCCAATAGATTCACCATTCAATTCTCTACAAGCTTGATGCTACAAACGTTTCTGTTGAAAGTTGAGAAAAAAAATTAGAGAAAGAATATTCAACAGGTATAACAGCATCAACTTTTAAAGCTGAAAAATAGTTTTTGCAGATTTTTTCGTCGGTCAGTGACGATAAAAATTAAACAATGTAGGTATTTTGTAGCCTTTGAAAAGTTCTATCTTCCGATCATAATTGAGAAGTTTCCACACCCAACCTTGCAATGGGCATTCTAAGTATCTTCTCTGTCAGATTTACGAGAATTTAGCTCTTTCAATCTGCAATTTCGATACTCCTAGGAAAAGAAGCGCAACAAAGTCAAAATATCATTTTTTTTTCATTCGTTTTTTTTCCATTTTGATCGAAATGGCCTACTGTACCAAAGTCAAACGCGAAATTTGAGTTATAATTTCTTTTTTAAATTCAGCTAGTGCCATATATCTGATTTAAGCTATTTTGAAGAGAATTTTCAAGAAATCAGATTTTTCGATCTTCCCTTTGATTTCAACGAGTTCTGAGCTACACGACAAGAAAGAGTACACTTCAAAGTACTCCGTAACATCTTTGCTTCTGTGTCGTTTGGTGTGCCATTGTAAAAAATTTGCAAAAGTTTGCTTTAAAAATCACTTTAACAGCTGATGCTGTTATACCTGCTGAACATTCTTTTTTTAATTTTTTCCTCAACTTCCAACAGAAATATTCGTCGCATCAATCTTGTAGAGAATTGAGTGGCAAATCTTTTGGAAAAAAAACTAAGGTCTAGAGAATGAAAATGATGAAGTTATTGAAACAACGTTGAGAGGAACATTTAACCGTGGCCACCCGGTACTTTGGAAATCATTGAAAATAAAGACAACAAAACGGTAGAAATTAACTATGAAAAATTGTTTAAGTTTGGTAGACTGAGTCTTATCGCTTCCAATCTTGCTATAAATATTTATAAATATGCATTTTTCGATTAGATATCTATAGAAATTAGATAATGTAAGTTCCAGGTAAGGCATATCCTAGTCAAAACCAAAATATAGTAAATCTTCAAAACAAAATCAATTCTTATACTCTGAGATCAAATTTGTATATTGTCGACTTCGACTAGTGAATATTTTCTACGCATATTATAACAGATTATTGACTTCGAATAATCTTTCTTATCACTTTTTTTATGTCTAAAGATCGTTTGTTGATTCTAATTATCTATATTTAATATGATTGAATTTTCATAATTAATACTTACGGATCAAGAATATTACTTGGTGGATAATCTTGATCAGCACTTGAAGCCATCGAAACGAATGCATTTGACTCTGTGAGCGTCATCTTCAATTAAAAATAAAAAGAAACAATAACTGAAAGTACAATTCAAATGCCTTCTTCATCTCTTGTTTATTTTAAAACAAAAATTGATTAACTATTTTTTCAAAAAACAACAAACATCACGATTTGTTAATAACATTCATAGCAATAAATGTAACATTTCACTCTGAAAAATGAATATCATAGACTAATATCGCTGAATTTCGTAATATTTGTGAATGAACATTCTAACTATGAAAAATAGGCAGCTCGAATATTTCTACTTGCATACAGTTATTGATTATCAAGCTATCTGAAATATACTTCTATTGTTTTTCTGAACTATTTAATCACTTATTAATGATAAAGAGTGTTTTACATTGAGTGAATATCAATAATAATTATTTTCATGAATTATTAGTAATTTTTCATGAGAAAAATGTAAAATTGATCTGCTATGTAGAATATATTCGAAATCTGTTAATATTATGGAACATATCGCATTTCAATCTGTTGAATAAATATCGATATTTTTAAACTTGAACTCAATATCAAGAAGTAATTCCTTTATGACTTGGTCAGTTATTAATTAGCTTGACTTATTTAATTTAAAAAACATTAGTCATAAGTATGTATCAAAGAAGGCATTATCTTTATATTTCAATTGGAGCATGAAATTTTCAAAAGAATTCTTATTACAAGTGTCAACGGAAGTCTCCTCACAATAAGCGCTGAGAATCATTGAACAAACTGCAAAAATATCTATAAAACTATCATTCAAATATTCTGTCTTGTTTTTAGTAACATTACTTTCCCTTTTGATTAATTTACAAATTGAAATAGAAATCCTGTCAGTCAAATGTTCCTTTTTGCACTAGTAGTAAGCAGGAAAAAATCCACTATCGTGACGTCGTCTTACAATTTTAAAACGCTTTTTAAAATGATTTCATCTCACTTTTACTATAAAACAATTTATCTATACAGACTATTTTCAAATTAATGTACACGATTGTTCTGCCTAGATTAAGAATTAAGATGATATATCCAATAAAAAATATACCATCTTATAGGTGCTACCTTGAATACTTATGTTTCTGTAAGTTCCTCAAGTAAAAGTAAACTCATTCGTTTAGAAGATGACTGTGACTGCATGAAGATAAGATTCTTACGCTCACCCTTTCATGCAATTCTAAGTATTAAACCATACTTCTAATGAAGTTAGTTGCATATGTAGCTGTTAGAAAAGTCAATTGCTATCAATCATTAGGAATACTTTTACTAACGTTATCGGTGAGGAAAGACTTACAAATTGATATTACTTAAATTAGAAATAATCTCGTTTAGATAATAAATAAAGTCCACTAAAGTTCATTCTTATATGTATAATAAAAAGATGTTTTCTTAAATACGTAATTAAAAAATAATTTTTAGTATTCGTAATCAGCTAATTGTTTCAAGTCTATATTATTATGTTTAATACTGAAATTTTCATGTTTATTTGTCTGCTCGATTTGATGAATACCAGTAAGTGATAATTTGATTGAACACAAATAAGAGCAATTGTAAAGAGTTGAAATAGAAAAAAAAATTTTTATATTTAAAACAGAATTTGGCTAGTCAAGCGATTGTCTATACTACTAGAGTTATGACTCGAACATGTCCATATTTAAATGGCAGAAGAAGTTCTATCTAGTAAAAGTTCTATTTTAGCTAATACAATACTGAAATTATGGGATCCTTATAAGTGTATGGTAACATTCGATGGAGAATAAACAAGTTTTATAAAAATAACTATTGATAGTTACGGGGAAAGCAAGACCTTTATTACACGAACAGCTACGCTTAATAAAGAAAAACATTAGGAGTTTCTAATCTCGTACTCAAAACAATAGCGATAAACCCATTGAATGAAGATTTCCTTTTAAATATAGCTTATGGCGATGCTATGAAAAGAATACAAGAGTTAAAAAGCAAGGAAAAGTTTTCAATTGCAAATATATTGAGATCCGCTTCTTGGTGATAGGGTTTAGTATATTGACTTCGAAATACTTCAAAATCAATCATTTTATCATCTTTTTTTTTTAGTTCTAGGATTGATGTCAAATGTAGCTACTAAAATTTTACTAGTTATCTCTATTGTCGAAGTATATCGCAAGAAATATTACGAAATATGACAAAATATATAACAAAAAGAGAAAATCCACAAAGATGAAATTCGATCGACTAAAATAATGTTCTATTAGAAGAAATATGTATCCTAGTCACTGATTACGTTAGTCATACCCTAGTTGACTTGATCTAACACTATCGCAAATATTGCATTTGAATAATAGTGTGCCTATTTAATCTGTAGAATAATAACTGAAATGGATTGATACCAGACCAAGGGACAATATAGAAAGCATATATGAACTATCATATCACGAACGAATAAACACTGATGTCAAGGCAATTGCAATTCAAATTTTCATGGCGATTTAATAGAGGTCGTTAAATACAATGGTATTATTTCTAAAAACTGAACGGGAACATGTTTACTAGTAATCGATATTAATTATAGGTGATTATGAGCAAAAATAAAATGTATTCAAAAATAACGGGTTATATCAAAGTTTTTCATCGTAAAAAATGTTTTTTTTCTTTGAATAGTTTAAAGCGTCTTTATTTTCATTCAGCTATTTTTTTTAATGTTTATTGAAAACATAGTGTGCTTTTTTCTGATCAATAGAATACATTTCAGTTTTTCTGCATAATCAGGTTCTATAATGTTTCAACACTTTTGTGAATCAGCTTAAAAGATTTAGAAAAGCTCACTTATTCAATGACTCTAGATCATGCATGAGAAATACTTTGTGTTAGACTGTTTTCTTTTTTTTCTTCTAATTATCAGCCCTTTTTATTTCATCAAATAAAACAAACGAAAAAGCAACTAAATATGTGCTTTTTTCTCAGTTTTGTCGGTTATAATCCGTTATTTATCCAACATGAAGAAGTCCCGTTAAAAAAAGAAAACAATGCCTAGAATCAAACATAGCAATATTATAATTTCTAGAGAGAACCCGCTGATATCAGGAGATACTTCTCTTGTCATAAAACTTTGAAAAACGAATCGAGAAACTCATAAACACTACGAATATTGATAATGGTCATTAGTGTAAGTTACTTAATCTTGGGAAAATGTCGAAGAAGATTTTTAATTAGGAAATAAGTATTCAGAAGTACGATGAAACTAATCAATGTGCATTCAGTTTATTGATTTCAAGTTCTAGCCTATGACGCTCTCGATTTAACAATCGAAATCAAATGAATTGATTGAACGCGGAATCAACATTAGCTATATTCAGTCAAAATGGAACTCGTCAGAATCATGATCAATTTCGAAAATAGAACCCATTTTATATTGAAGGAGAGATAAGAATTATTTCTTTTAAATCTTTGATTTTGATCAAAGTTTTTACATATGGTCTACTGTTGCTACGATCGAATTTATTTTCAATTTTTCGATACGAAGCATCCACGTTATTATCGAGAAAATATACATGCAGCAGAGAATAATAGATTTCAAACGCAGTTGGAAATATGTCTGAGTCTTTCAAATGTATTTCAAGATAGCATCAAAACAATGAAGTTAATTCTAGACTTAACTTTTTAAGATGAATTTTCCACATACTTGGTGTCTACTATCAGTGATCAAAATAGTTGAAGAACTTTCCAATACCTATATTCTAGGAATACGCAGAATTATAACTCGTAGCTATTTGAATGATCCTTCAAATTTCAAATACACAAGAAATCGATATTCGCTCAATCGAAGGATTACAATATGGACACTCAATTGAAATGATATGAACGAAACTTTTCACTGCATAATATGAATTAGAAAATAAATCAAGTAGACAAAAATAGTCTTTGTTTGAAGTAAAATGAAAACAGTGCAACTCTATAATGAGTCATAATTTGAATAGCTTTGGTATATAAATGCAGGCGAATGACTGAGAATAAATTTGGTGTGTATTGTGAATGTGATAGGAAATATGAAATCAGTAAGTGTAATACTTAATATCTCCATTTAGTTTTATTTAATCGTAAAATTCGACAATTCCATCTTGATTACTCATAGAAATAGAAGCTTTTTTACCTGGTTACTTGACGTTTTACAGCGACTTTGATGACTTAGAAGCACGTAGTATCGTACGAGGAACTAGAACTCATACACATCACTGTGTACACAGTAGCTCTAACATTCGTCATAGTCTCTTGTAAACATAAATAATATAACTATGTAATAAATTTTGTTAGTCTGTAGGTATGTCATTATTGAAACCTGAAAAGTAACTGCAAGATTATCATTGAGATTCCAATTATGATATAACTATATGATTAAAAATATGAAAGTAAAAGTACAATCACATACTTATTACAGTAGCCGAAAATACCTTAAAAATATTAATGCAGATAGAAAAATACATGAGCATATGAAAACTGCCGAGGAGACTATGAAAACACTATCCTATCCACTACAGCATAGGCAAAGATCGCATAATCTGATACATAATACATCACGTCAAACTATTAGCAATGCGAGTAAAAAATAACCTTGATATTTTCATTACGTATATCATATCTGTGAGAACGTAGCTGTGTGTGCTAAGTATAGTCGTCCATCTGATTCCTAACCGCCGTGTACATATCAATACTCAAAATTGGAGGTACAGTTGAGTTGTTTATGTTGATGAAGACATGATGTCTTGAGATTTCCGTGTACAAGATCCCTAGATGTAAGGAATAATGAGAAGGAGGCATGATTTTTTTTTCATTATCAATACGGTACACAGTTTTATCTTGATTCAGAACTGATAAATTAGCGGAATAGAAGTATCATGATCTTTGATTAAGATACTAAACACATTATTCCATCAATCCAATTGTATCTACTTCAAATAGATGAGAAGTCTTGATAAGAGAGAGAGAGAGAGAGAGTGAACGAACGAATGAACAGGAAAAGAACATTACACAAAGAAGCA